TAATATAGCTATCCAGCTTTCTTTTGATTAGTATTATCATGCTATATCTTTCTCCATCCCTTTGCTTTTAATCTGTTTCAGGTTGGTTTTTTGTAGCCAATGCATACTTGGCTTTTGTTTTTTTTAATCCACTCTGATAGTCTCTATCTTTTATTGATGTATTTAGACCATTCATGTTTAAAGTGATTTTTGATATATGTGGGTTAATATTGACCATTTTTTAACTGTTTTCTATTTGTTGCCCTTTTCTTTGTTTCTTTCTCTTTAATCTTCCACTATTTTCCTGCCTTCTCTGGTTTTATTTGAATATTTTATGTATGTTATGGATTGAATTTATCTCCCCAAAATATATGTTGAAATTCTAACTCCTATACATGGAAGTAAGAGTTTTTCTTTTGTTATATTAATGAATACATACTAGAGAAGAATGGGTCTTATACCTATTTCTTTCTGAGTGGTGTTTTATAAAAAGGGAGAACAGACAGGGAGAGATGTAAGAGGAAAAGACCATGTGAGGAACCCTCTATAAGCCAAGTAATGCAAGGAACTCCTGGGGCTACTGACAAGGAAATACTTTTCCCTAGAGATGATGCCCTGCTTTGGACTGATAGCCACCAAAACTCTGAAACAGTAAATTCTTGTTCTTTAAAACCACCTACATGTGGTATAATGAGATCTGGTGGTATAGTGGTGCAGTGTAGTAAATTATATAGTGTGGCTTTTCTAGCCATAAGTCTTTTTAAACTCCGTGGTGGAATTTGCCATGAACAACTGAGTAACTCCTGATTGTTAAAATTATGCACCTGGGGTATTTCTGTTAAGAGTGGCTCAAAGTAATTTGCTGGGAAGTTCTCTCTCTCCCAGGTGTATAGAATTCTGATGTTGGGATTGGTTAGTTTGACCACTCTGCCAGGCTCAAAAAGGAGCTCTCCTAGAGGTAGAAGAAGTCTCTGACTGCTGGCTGAGAAAGACATGCTGCTGAGAGAAATGTGCTCCTGAGGAACATGTGCTGCTGAGAGAAGGATACTGAGAGACACCACTGTTGAGAGAGAGACACCAAGAGACATGCACTGCTGAGAGAGAGACACACACTGCTGAGAGAGAGACCCTGAGAGATAATGCACTCCTGGGAGAGAGACAGCAAGAGACATTCTGGGAGAGAGGCTGAGAGAGACTGTTGGCTAAGAGAGACTGAGCGTTGTTCTTGAACTTGAATTGTAGCCTGGTGCTTCCCTAATAAACCTCATAATCTGTGAGTTCTGTGTGGCCACTGCAGCAAATGATCAAACCCAGCAGAGAGGTGGTGGGTGCTGCAGGAGGAATGGTTGGTGTCAGGGCTGATGAAAGGGCTGGAGGGAGGCAGCATATCTGGCCTCACAGGAAGAGGCTGTGGGCTATGGATGGTGATTCTGCCTTCTCTTTGTAGGGTTAGAGGAGGTCAGAAGATGCGACCTCCCTATCCCTTTGCCAAGTAGTTAAAGCATTCGGCTGCTAATCAGACGGTTGGAGGTTCAAACCCACCAGCCAATTCATAGGAGAAAGATGAGGCAGTCTGCTTTTGTAAAGATTTATAGCCTTGGAAACCCTATGGAGCAGTTCTGCTTTGTCCTAAAGGGTCACTATGAGTGAGAATCAATTAGATGGCAGTGGCTTTGGTTTTGATTTTACTTGTAGTACTGGTTAAGGCAGCACAAAAAATGGAAAATTATCTCATTTTCTTCCCTGCCTTAGTATATCCATTATACTTCTTTTAATTTTTTTGGTAGTTGCTACAGAGTTTGTAGTATATGTTTACAGTTAGTCTAAGCCCACTTTCAAATAATACTAAAATATTCCACAGGTAGTTCAGGTACCTTATAATAGAATATTTCCAATTTATCTCTCCTGTCCCTTGTAGCATTGCTATCATTCATATGATTTATCCATAAGCTATAATCATTGAATACTTTGTTGCTGTTATTATTTGAAATAAACTGTTACCTGTTAGATCAATTAAGGATAAGAAAAAAAACCTTTTGTTTTATCTTTTTTTATTCCTTCTCTTGTGCTCTTCTTTCTTTATGTAGGTACAAGTTTTTTTTTTTTTTTTAAACTTTATTTTAAAAAAATTTACTTTATTGAGGTATAATTTGCATGCAGTAAGAGTCATTTTGGTTCTCTAGTACTAGTATAACAGAAAATACCACAAATGTATGCCTTTAATAAACAGGGATTTATTCTCTTATAGTTTTGGAGGCTAGAAGTCTGAGTTCAGAGTGCTAGCTCTAGGGGCTGGGTGAAGGCCCTTTGACCTTGGGCTTCAACTCTGCCTCTTGTCCTGGCCCACTGGAACTGGATGTATCTCTTAACTTAGGCAGCTTCCGACTGCTGAGGCTGACAAACCCAAGTAAAATGGCACAGTCCCAAAATTATCAAGCAGCATGGCAGGTCACTAGTTCAAGTCCAGAAACAGTCCCCAAACCAGCATACAACATGGCAGACCATTCACTGATGACTTAGCCAAATGCAGGATTCAAATGTGCCAACAAGCTCAGAGATCCTTCTAAAAGCATCATCTTATATGCTGAAAGCAGACCACATCCCTAAGGCTCAGTGCTCACAGTAGATTACAACATGGAGTTGATGGCCAGTCTCATCATGGGGAATAACTATATCCAGTTGCCCAACCCTCAAAACCAGGCCTAGTTAAGTTGACACACAACCTTAACTACCACAGTCATCAGTGTTTAGTGTGCAATTCAGGTAGCTTGGCAATGTATACATTTATGTAACCACCACCAAATAATGATATGGAACATTTCCACTACCCAACAAGTTTCTGCCTGACCCTTTGCAGACGATCCCCTTCCCCATCCTCTCAACCTTTTTTTTTTTTTTTTTTTAAATCATAATCAGTTAACCCACAGATACTCAAAGAATGACTCATTTTCCCCCATCCTTATGTTAGACTCTGTAACAAGGAAGAATTTTAGGACAAGTTTCTTGCCCCAAAAGAAGTAAAATTCTAGCTGGGGAAGAGATGCTAAGAGAGGAGAATAGGGTGGTGGAGGGAAAAGAAAAGAGAGAGAAGAAGGAGAAGGCAGTAAGGAAGGGGGAAGAGGGCCAGATGAAAATTCTGCAGATGAAATGAAATTCTATCCTCCTCATCTGCCCCTCTTCAGGTCCAGAATGGAACAGAGGCCCCCACTTCCACACCTGTACCCAATGACCATTACTGTAGAAAAGCCCATTCTTTCCATCCCCCTTCCTCTTTCTAGGCCTCTGCCCTCTTCCTGCTCCTCTCTCTGAGTCCTGGAAACCCTCCCTTTCCTCCCAATTCTGCCTGCGTGAGGCATGCAACCACTCTCAGACCAGCACCTTGGCCCTTTGTGCCCTCTTCTGGTCTAATTGGACAGCAGTGAACTACTTGGCTTCATGTTTATGGTTCAGAGATGACAAATGCTTTTGTCTTGATGATCGATAGAGAATAATCTGTCTCTGGGCAGTTATCATAAGGAGCCCTGCTGATGCAGGGGTGAAGAGCTATGCTAAAGGAAAGGTTGGCAGTTTGAATCCACCAGTTGCTCCAAAGATGTATGTGGCAGTCTGCTTCTGTAAAGATTTAATCTTGGAAACCCTGTGGGGCAGTTCTAATCTCTCCTATAGGATTGCTTTAAGGTAGCATATACTTGATGGCAGTGTTTTTTTTGTTTTGTTTTGTTTTTTGGTTAGACAGTTAACATGGTGAAAAAGATTCTGGCTTGGGAATTGGGAACTCCAGTTTTCTCATGCTTCTCTGGCTTGTGAGTTTGAATAAAGTCACTATAACAATAATTGCTCAAATTTAACTGGTTTGCTGATCCCTTTTCCCCCACCCTCTCTCCAGGTGTAATGAGCAGGGAGGTTATAATCTGGGATTGATATTCTCTGAGCATTGTGGGTATCCAAAGCTGACTCTTTTGTGGGGACCTCTTGTATTTTGTTTGGAGGTTTTCTCATTTTAGGGTTTTCTCCCCTACAGTTTCCTTGATATGGGCTGTCTCCTCTATCTCGCCTCTTAACACTTCCCCCTCAGCCTACTGGTTCCCTGTGTTGATCCGAGTTTCTGACCTATATAAATTTTCTTCCCTCTGAAGTACTTCTTTTACCATTTCGTGCAAGGCAGGCCTACTGATAACAAATTCCCTCAAGTTTTATTGGTCTGAGAAAGTCTTTATTTCTCTTTCACATTGAAGGATAATTTAACTGTGTAGAGAATTGTAGGTTGGTGGTGTTTTTCTTTCAACACTTTGAATATTTCACTCTATCTTACTTGTGTGGTTTCTGAAGAATAGATCTAGTTTTCTTTCTTAATTCACAGCATCTTATGTAGAGTAGGCTCTCATTACATGTTGGTTGAATTTTCAAACAAGGTCTTACTAGAAGCCTACTTGTTCTATGAAGCATTTGTCTTTCCATAAGCCAAATTTTGTGTATTTTGATACTGATGTTTTAGATTTTTATGTTGTTTCTGAACTCATTAGACTACCTAAAGCAAATTGTCTTTTTTTTTAAAAACATATTTTGTGTTATGTGTTAGTGATTGGTTAGGTCTATAGTAATAAGGTGACAATATGTCCTGGTTTGCCTGGAATGGTATTGGTTTGTACTTATTGTCCTAGCTTTATTATTAATAGTTTTCTCTTTCTATCTCAAGAGTGTCCTGGTTTGAATGGCAAATTATTTGGTCACTAATTATTAAAAGGGAGCTCTGGTAGTGCAGTGCCTAAGGCATTTGACTGCTAACCAGAAGGCTGGTGGTTCAAACCCACCAGCCACTCCTCAGAAGGAAGGTCGGGCAATCTACTTCTGTAGTGATACCGCCTCAGAAACCCAAGGATGGGTCACTGTGAGTTGGGTCCGATTCGATGGTAAACAACAACAATTATTGAAAACTTTTAACTGTGAGCTCACAAAAATGTCTTAAGTATATTTCTTGAATATTGTTTAATGGAAAAGTACTTTTTTTTTCTCCCCTCCAGGTATTTTAACACCAGCAATAACAATTTACAATACTGGGGACTGGATTACCCACCTCTAACAGCTTATCATAGTCTCTTATGTGCATATGTGTAAGTATTTTTGCCTTTAGTAAATATACTGCGGAGCAGTATGATCTGCCTTTGTTGAGCAGAGGTGAGATCTGTTGTAGCTACTATTGTATTATGGTTTGTAAAGTACTCTGCCCTTATGAAGGTGCTCTGGTGGCATGGTAAATAAGGCATTTATTTGGCTACTAACTAGAAGGTAGGCAGTTCTAACCCCCCCAGCTGCTCTGTGGGAGGAAGATGGGGGCATCTACTTCTGTAAAGATTTACAGCCTTGGAAACCCAGTGAAGGTTGCTGTGAGTCAGAATTAATTTGATGGCAGTGTTTTTTTTTTTAAATGCTCTTAAATAATGAGGTTGTAAGAAAAGCAACTACCAGAATTTAAACATTTCTGTAATTCTCTGTAGGATAGGTTAGAAAGAAATGCAAAAATCTAGCTTCATTTTGAAGTGGAGATGTTACCAATTAATATGAACTACTGTGAAATATATTTAATATGGACTAGTTGTACACAGGAATGACCCAAAGTAAAGGAAAAATACAGATCCAAATGTGATTCTGATTAAACTAGAATTACTGTAATGTTTCACTCTATGATTTAAGATTGGAACTGAAATTCTTCCTTTTAAAGAAATAGAATGTTTTTTATAAAATGAGGAGCTATATTTTGGTGGAGACCCAGTACTACTGTATAGTGGTATTCCATTTCAGGCTTGAAGTGTGTCAGGAAAAATTTGAAGAACTTCTCTTTGTAGTATACTTCCTGAACTCATCTTACTTATTTTTTTATTCAGCTTTAACTATTTCATATTTTATTGCAATTAGCTAAACATTGTTCTACAGCCTACTTTGGTGAGGAGCCACAGGGTTCTTAAAAGCTTGTGAGGGGCCATCTAAGATGCAACTATTGGTCTTCCCTTGTCTGGGGCAAAGCAGAGTGAAGAAAAGCAAAGACACATGGAAATAAGTAGTTCACGGGAGTAATGGACCATGGGAACTTCAGCCTACGTGTGCTTGAGATCAGAAGAACTAGGTGGTGCCCAGCTACCAATGCCAACCACCTAGAAAGGGATCAAAATTGGAGATCCTAGATAGAGTGAGAGAATAATGTGGAACAAAGTTAAAAAAAACATATAAAAAAGGCCAAGATTAGTGGTCACATAGAAATGAAATCCCTGAGAGTATGGCCTGTAGACATCCTTCAGGCTTGTTTGTAATTGGATTCACTCAGTGACTTAACTCTCTGCCAAACAATAGACAGGCCTGTGAGCTGAACAGTTATACCAGGGAGGTGCACTCCTTAGAACAATCAACCATGGGAGATCAGAAGGGTGGTATTTGCATAGGGAGAAAGCTAGGGAGGCAGGAATGCATAGGTAGGAAAGACACAGGAAATGGGTAACTATAAGGAGGAGGTGGGACGAGAGCTGTTATGTTGTGGGGATTGTAATCAGTGTGACGAAACAAAATATATATGAACTGTTGAATGAAAATTAATCTGTTCTGTAAAGAAGAGTTAAGTTTAAGCATTGACTTTGTTACTTTATAAGAGCAACAGCTGATTCTCAAATTTATATGTTCTCAAATGTCCTGCTAGTTGTGATAGAAGAATAAAGTATGTGTATATATGTTTTGGTTTGCAGGGCAAAGCTTATAAATCCTGATTGGATTGCTCTCCATACATCACGTGGATATGAGAGTCATACACATAAACTCTTCATGCGTACAACAGGTAAAAGAGTGTAAAATTTTGATTTTTTAAAGAAATTGTGGACAAGCTAATAAAATGAAAGGTACTATTATTATACTTACTGACTTTTTAAATTGTATAACTATTAAAACAGTAAATGGAGGGGAATAATTTTAGGTGCTTTACATTTATTATCTTAATTATTTAAATCCTCATATAAAGTAAATGTTATTATAATCCCCATTTTAAACTGATGAAGCTGAGGAATGGTGAAGTGAGGCAACTAATATAGCTGAGTCAGATAACTATAAATCAAGACTTTAGTTGTTTAGGATGCTGCTATAATATCCTAATAACAAATTCCTTTCACCTTTTCTTAAAGTAAACCTTATAGTTATATATCATACACTGTTGTTAAATTAAGTAATTCTCCCAAGAAATGTATGTTGAGCATCTACTGTGTACTGTTCAAGGGGCTTTAAAGTAATAAGCTTGTTGTTGTTGTTGTTAGGTACTATCAAGTCAGCTCCCAACTCATAGTGATCCTGTGTACAACAGAACTAAACGTTGCCCAGTCCTGCTCCATCCTCACAACCCCAGTGCTTGATCCCATTGTTGCAGCCACTGTGTCAATCCATCTTGTTGAGGGTCTTCCCCATTTTGGTTGAGACTTTACTTTACCAAGCATCTTCTCCAGGGACTGGTCCCTGCTGACTACATAACCAAAGTAGGTGAGATGAAGTGTAGCCATTCCTGCTTCTAATGAGCATTCTGGCTGCACTTTTCCAGGACAGATTTGTTTGTTCTTCTGGCAGTCCAGTGTATTTTCAGTATTCATGCCTGTACCACAATTTAAATGCATCAACTCTTCTTTGGTCTTCTTTGTTCATGGTCCAGCTATCACATGCATATTAGGCAATTGAAAATACCATGGTTTGCGTTAGGGTCACTTTAGTCTTCAAAGTGACATCTTTGCTCCTTAATACTTTAAAGAGGGCTTTTGCAGTAGAGTTCCCCACTGCAATATGATGTCTGATTTCTTGACTTCCATGGGTGTTGATTGTGGACCCAAGTAAAATGAAATTCCTGACAACTTCACTCTTTTCTCCATTTATCATGATGTTGCTTATTGGTCCAATTGTGAGGATTTTTGTTCTCTTTGAGATGTAATACATACTAAAACCTGTAGTCTTTGAGCTTCATCAGTAAGTGCTTCAAGTTTTCTTCACTTTCAGCAAGCAAGATTGTGTCATCTGCGTATTGCAGGTTGTTAATGAGCCTTCCTCTAGTCCTGATTCCATGTTCTTCTTTATATAGTCCAGCTTCCTGGATTGTTTGCTCAGCATACAGGTTGAATAAGTATGGTGAAAAGATACAACCACTCATCTGTCAGTTTGTTGTACTTTGGTGGCTTGTGTGTTGCTGTGAGGCTGGAGTCTATGCCACTGGTATTTCAAATACCAGCAGGATATTTGGTGGGGGGTCACCCATGGTGGACAGGTTTTGGCAGTTTTGTCCAGACTAAGACAGACTGGGAAGAAGAATGGGACCATCCATTGAAAACTTTATGAATAGTAGTGAAACATTGTAATAAGCTTAGATTTCTTTAAAAGCTTTATATGACTTAGACTTTAATGTTAACCTGGGCCTTTTCTTTATTTAGTCTAAATTGAGTCAGAATGTGTTCTCTTTACTGGTCATCCAGACATGGAATCTAAGGCCCAAGAGATAATCCCTGCCTGCCACCCATGTTTAATTCCTCTTTGAACTACGTAACTCACCATGTGATCAGTCAGCTTCTGAATTGATGCCTACATTTGCAGGGAACTGACAACCTTTAGAAATAGCCTATTATATTTTCAGAGAGCCCTAATCATTAAACATTTCTTTCTTACATGTATAAAATAATCCAGTAATTCCTTTGGGCCACATAGAATAAATCTGATCTTTTATATATCTAGTACTTTATAGACTTTTGATGTCCTCTTCTCAAGGTTAAGCCTTCCTAGATTTTAAAACTATTCCTTAGATGGTCAATTTCTTGAATGTGATTGTGGTTCTGAAACTTTTGGTTGTGATCTTTTGATATATCCAGTTTGTCATCTTAAATGGGGCATCTGCAGCTGAACTTAGCATTGCTTACATATAACACTGAAAGTTTATCACTTCCTGTATTCTGGACACTAAGAAAAATATAATGCAGTACACTAAGAACAAAATAGGCTCTTTGGACAGCTATGTTACTGTTGCAAATGTAATGTATTTGTTTCTCAGTGTTTTCAAAGGACTGAACGTTCAGAATTATGAATTGCCTTTTTATAAAACTTATTTTAGTTTCTTCCTCAAGCTCTTTATATGTATTAATTAGTCAAGATTTATATATGTTTTCTTTAAACACTAGTATTTTGAAAAAATTATCCTGTGCATCACCATATTTGAGTTTTCTTTACACCAGATAATTTGGAGTGTGCATATATTGAGGCCAAAAAATATATATATATACTGTTTTCCCTTGCCTTATTAATTTTTTTTTAAATTATGATTTGGGTAAAAGGTTACAGAGCAAATTCATTTTCCATACAATGAGTATTCTTAATTTTTAAGTGCAAGTCAGAGCAAAGAGAAAATTCAGTTTGGATTTTATAATTAATTAGTGTGTGGATTTGTTAGAGAAAATTAAGAGACTCCTTAGTACCCTATCAATTGAAGTTAGGCAGTGATAAGAGAATGAAAGGACTTGTTTTGTTACAGACTTGTCCAGAGTGGGTAGGAATCTTGTGTTAATAGAATTCCCAGTCAGGGGTAGAGGGAGGCAGTTAATAGTCTGTTGTAGATCTTGATGGACTCACAGTTAAACTGTTTGCTTGGTTCCTTAGTTTTTGTTGCTGATTTGCTGATTTACATACCTGCAGTGATTTTGTATTGTTGTTGCTTAAAAGAAACTTCAACTAATGGAAAGGTAAGTTTTAAAGCAGCCTAACATTTCATGTCTGAAATGTTTATTAGTTTAACTATTAAGTATAGATCATAAAGAAGCCATGCTTTTAGGAATACATAGAATAATGGGGGATAGGATGAAAAAACAAACAAAAAAACACTGCCATCAAATCAATTCTGACTCATAGCAACCCCAGTAGGGTGTCCAAGGATGTAAACCTTTATGAAAGAGACTGCCTCGTCTTTCTTCCACAGGTGGCTGTGGGTTCGAACCACTGACTTTTTGGTTTGTAGCCAAGTACCTTAACCACTGCACCACCAGAGCTCCTTTGTTGTTGTTATGTGCTGTCAAGTTGTCTCTGACTCATAGCAACCTTATGTACAACAGAACGAAACACTGCTTGGTCCTGTGCCAGCCTCATGATTCCTACTATACCTGAGCCCATCACTGTAGCTACTGTGTCAGTCTATCTTGTTGAGGGCCTTCCCCTCTTTTGTTGACCCTCCATTTTACCAAGCATGACATCCTTCTCCAGAGAATGGTCCCTTCTGACAACATGACTCATTGGAGGGACAGTGTATCTTCTATTAATTAATTTTTATTTAGAAAACTTCAACTTACCTCACAGTTGTTATTCTAATGCCTTGCCATGGTAGTAATAAGATGCACTGAATATTAGAAGGTATGTGCTGCTGAACTACACAGCATGCCAAATTTACTGCTTAAATAAATTGGTAAAGCTGAATTTTGAGCTGTTGTTGTTGTTGTTGTGTGCCGTCGAGTCAGACCTGACTAATAGTGTCCCCTCTTTGGGTTTCTGAGGCAGTATCACTATGGAAGTAGATTAGCCCCATCTTCCTTCCAAGGAGTGGCTGGTAGGTTTGAACTGCCAGCCTTCTGGTTAGCAGTCAAGTGCCTTAGTCACTACACTACCAGAGCTCCTGAATTTTGAGCTAGCTTATGGAATGACTAAACTAAAATATTTTTTGTAAGGTCACTGTGTATTCTCATATTTACACTTACCAAATACTTTTTAATCATTGCAAATAATTTAATTATTAGATTAACTTCTCTGATATGTATATCTAAAAGTGCTTCCTTTGCCAAATACCTTTTAGTGATTTTTTCCTTTTTACGGAAGTGTCCGTGTCACCTCTTTGAGAAATTTAGTGCCTAAAAGAGTTGTTTTATAAAAGATGGAAAATTTTGGTAAATATAAGATATAGTACCTCAGCAAAGGGGCAACATTTGCTACTAAAGTAAAATGAAACCACACTTTTACCATTTGAGTAACAGTTTACTAATTTCACAATATTTTTCTTTACAGATTGCTAATGCATTATGCATACTGCTATATCCAGGCCTTATTCTTATCGACTATGGACATTTTCAGTATCCTTTACTAATTGACGAATGAAGTCATTAGTTGCATATTATGAAGTTTAGGCTCAAATATGTAAAATTTTGTCATCTAATAAGGTCCTATTTGCTAGAGTGCTTGCCTATATAAATTATTTTCACAATTACATAGAATAATCTGTTTACCAAGATTTTACCTTGGTAGACAGCTAAAGTACAGATTTATTAAAAGGAGAGTTACTTTTTTAGTACCCATTTGGCTTGGGAATAAAATGTTAGTAATTGATTAGCTTTTTCTAGGAAGTTGGAAAACAAATGCCAGTTATAGTATGCCTTCCTCCTCCTAAAAAGGTGTAACATATGTTTTATCTTTTGTAAATGTTATCTGATATGAATAAAAAAACAATACAATCTTATAGTTTATTGAACTCTAAAAAAGGTGGTTTTCTAACAGGTAGTGGAAGCTAGGAAGCTTCAGGAAACTGAAACTGATAATTAAAATCTATGTTGTGCATTTATGATTACATATTTTTTTTTATATAAAATAAGGAACATTCAAAAACAAACAAACAAATCTCAGAGGATAAATTTATAAAATCTATACTTGGTTGTCCAATTTGTGTTCTAGTGTATTGAATGTTAATTGTCTGTCCCAAGTGAAAAACAGGAACAATGATAACAGTAACATATTAACTTAATAAATCCTTTTGATGCTAGTATGTTTTAGTTGTAATTAAATTAATTTGCGTCTCTACCAAAGGAATTGCAAAAGATATTTAAATCTATAGTTTCCCAATTGAGCTAATTTTTTTTTTGGAAGGAGGGGATAAAAATAACCTGTACTTTGTAAGCTTGGGGGATCAGTGATTATGCCTGTCAGATAGTCTGATAATATTAAGAACACTGATATAAGGAAAGAAAAAAAAAAGCCATCCACCAGACTTTTAAAACTATTTTTATTTTGAAATGCAGCACTCATACAGAAAAGTACTTAAAATTAAATGTGGATCTCAGTGAACCGGTAAACTATTTTTCATGTCAAGAAATAGAATGTTGCCAGTACCCAAAAAACTTCCTTTGTATCCTTCCCAAATACTTCTCTGTTCCCAGAGTGCTTAGTGTCTCCCAGATACTGTTTTAAATGCTTTACAACTATTAATTCATTTCATTCTCAAAACTAGCTTACAAATTAGGGGCTACAACCCCCATTTGACGAATGAGAAAGTAAAGCATATATAATTAAGAAATGTGTCCCCATAAAATGGCATGATTCTCAAAGCTAATACTGACTGCTAATACTATATTGTAGTTTAATTTTCCCTTTTTATGAATTTTATATAAATGGAACCATACAGTAGGTATTCCTCTATGTTTATTTTCTTTGGTTCAACATTTTGTTTGTGGGGTTTATTCATGTGTAGCTGTAATATGTTTACTTTCATTGCTTTCCAGTATTCATTTGTATGAATACACACAGTTCTATTGGTGATAGACATTTGGATTGTTTCCAGGTTTTGGCTATTATGAATAATACTGTGTGAACATTCTTGTAAATATCTCTTGTGCACATATGTGTATTTCTTATGAGTGGAATAACTTGAGTTATAGAGTATCCAGTTTTTTTTTTGCTGTTCTTGTTAGGCGCCATCGAGTCGTCTCTGACTCATAGCAACCTTATGTACAACAGAACGAGACCCTGCCTGGTCCTGTGCCAGCCTTATGTTCCCACCTTTACCCAAGCCCATCGTCGCAGCCACTGTCAGTCTGTCTCATTGAGGGCCTTCCCCTTTTTCGCTGACCCTCCACTTAACCAAGGATGATATCCTTCTCCAGAGAATGCTCCTTTCTGACAACGAGACTAAAGTAGGAGTATCTGGCCATTCTTGCTTCCAAGGAGCATTCTGGCTGCACCTCTTCCAGAAGAGATTTATGAGTTTCTTTAGCAGTCCATGGTACTTTCAGTATTCTTCGCCAACACCACAACTCAAAAGCATCAACTCTTCTTTGGTCTTCATTATTCATTGTCCAGCTCTCACAAGCATATGAGGCGATTGAAAATACCATGGCTTTCATTAGGTGCACCTTAGTCTTCAAGGGGACATCTTTGCTTTTCAGCACTTGAAAGAGGTCTTTTGCAGCAGATTTACCCAATGCATTACGTCTTCTGATGTCTTGACTGCTGCTTCCATTGGTGTTGAGTGTAGACCAAGTAGCATGAAGTCTTTCACAACTTCAGTCTTTTCTCCATTTATCATGATGCTTCTCTTATTGCCCCGGTTGTGAGGATTTTTGTTTTCTTTATGTTGAGGTGTAATCCATACTGCAGACTGTAGTCTTCAATCTTCATCAGTAAGTGCTTCAAGTCATCCTCACTTTCAGCAAGCAAAGTTGTGTCATCTGCATATCTCAGGTTGTTAATGAG